AACTATAGATAATATATACTTTAGCAATAGGTTACGAATATTTAAAAAAAAGGGTGCGTGTACTTATGTACGCGCGTAAGAAGTTATATTTTATTTTTATTAAATTTATTTCTTTTATTTTTAATTTAAATTTTAATCAATTTGAAAACAAATCGATTAAACAACATCCTCAAAAACGCATATTAGACATCCCTTTTCTTGACATCGTATAAATTCGGTAATTCTCGGTACGGTTCGGAAAGTTCACCTGCGGCTATATTCAGACTCGCCAAGTTACGTCGGTCGTATTGTAATGAGCGATTTAGTGGGCAACTTCGTTCTGTTAATTTCGTGTCACGGAGCGCGCGCATCGTAAAATTTCACTCTCGTCAATTTTTCATGACGCGCCTAAAGAAGTATAACTTCAAAAAACAAATTTATAGCTTACCTTTTTTCTTGACCTTACATAAACACCAAAAGGAAATTGTGTAAGTTTGTATGTACATGATGCCAAAGATGCGAAATTCTAGTTGACAGTTTAACGTTATTGCATTCGTAATCACACAGTGACCTGGTTTGTTTTATGCTCTTTTGGTATGTGCCTCGTAATTTAGCAAATCAGTAATAATATTCAAACAAATAGTACTAAAGCCAGTTCACACACATTCACAGGTCATTGTGGTTTGGTTATGAGTAAATATTTAATTGACATTTGTAAAACAAATCTTAATTTAATTTAATTTAGATTTGTAATCGTTGTGGCCTAAACGATTTGACGCTACACATACTTGTATCAAGCAACGCGAATATGCCGGTGTTCAAATCGCGCAGGCTAGTACCAAATATGTTGTCAGGTTTGAGCCCCGTGAGCTCACCTACTATAATAGTTAAGGTTACGCTGATATAGCCTCTCAAGGCTCTCAGATTAGGTAGGAAAAAAAAACAGTAATATATTTTTGACAGTCAGACAAAGAGGCAGTGATATTTTCAAAGTCGTCGAGGCCTAAAGGATAAGACGTCCGGTGCATTCGTATTTGGCGATGCACCGGTGTTCGAATCCCGCAGGCAGGTACCAATTTTTCTATTGAAATACCTACGTACTTAAAAAATGTTCACGATTGACTTTCACGGTGAAGGAATAACATCGTGTAATAAAAATCAAACCCACAAATCTCGAGGTGTGTGGCGGCATTTACTTTGTAGATGTCTATAAGCTCCAGTAACCACTTTATTTTTATTTTATAGCTTAGATGGGTGGATGATCTCACAGCCCACCTGGTGTTAAGTGGTTACTGGAACCCATAGACATTTACAGCGTAAATGCACCACCCACCTTGAGATATAAGTTCTAAGGTCTAGTATAGTTCCAACGGCTGCCCCGCTCTTCAAACCGAAACGCATTACTGCTTCACGGCAGAAATAGGCGGGGTGGTGGTACCTACCCGTGCGGACTCACGCGAGGTCCTACCACCACTTAACACCAGTTGGGCTGTGAGATCGTACACCCATCTAAGCAATAAAAAAACTGTGTTCACTAACGATATCCGCGATTAAAGTAATCACATCGTGTAATAAATCTCGAAAGCCACAAATTTTGTAAATTTGTTTAACAGACAAGACAAAGAAATAATTAATTTTGACTTGTTGACATGTCTCAAGATGGATGGATGTATTGAAGTGTTTTGGACTTAATTTATACGTCATTTATATTGCCTCAATAAATAAGAACGAAAACATTAAATCGTGTTTCGGAAAAGTAATGTTTAACACTTAACTTACTCAGTTTTAAGTAATAATATCTAAATAACCACACTCGTCTATAAATATACTAGCTGACCCGGCAAACATTGTTTTGCCATATATAAGATTTCTAGGGAATTTCTAGTGTAGAAAAAAAAACTAACTTATTGTAAGTGTGTAAGGATGTGGTAAATGAGTGAAAGAGGTATGTAGTGCTGTGAACGATGAGGGAATATATAATAAAAATAACAAAACCTCATTCAACCACATAATACCTCATTAAAACAAAAAAAAATGTCCAAATAAAAAAAATATGTTAGGGGTGGACAACCCTAATCACTTAGAGGTATGAAAAATAGATAGTAGCCGATTCTCAGGCTTACTAAATATGCATAAAAAATTTCATGAGAATCGGTCAAGCGGTTTCGGAGGAGTATGGGAACGAACATTGTGACACGAGAATTTTATATATTAGATATAAAAATGTATTGCTGTTCGTTAGTCTCGCTAAAACTCGAGAACGGCTGGACCGATTTGGCTAATTTTAGTCTTGAATTATTTGTGGAAGTCCAGAGAAGGTTTAAAAGGCAAATAAAATGCTCGGAATTAAATAAAAATAGCAATTTTGTTTTCCCTTTGTTGTGTCCCCCGTCGGACGGATTCCGTTTGTTTGTTTTAGGTTTATTTTGTACAAAAGTTTAGGTCTTTTATTTATCCGATTGAGGCACTACGAAGTCTGCCGGGTCAGCTAGTTTTAAATAAATGATTAAATTTAAGACGATGTATCTAAATAGATGACAAAAATTTCTATTCACTATACTCGTCATACTCGTCAATTCACGACGTTATTCTTACAACAATTTCGCATTCGACCATTTTCGCGCATTCTTACAAGAAGTACGAGGGCGGCACTGAAAATTTCGGGAATTAACGAAGTGACACAACATTACTATTTAAAAATGTATTTATTGCTTTTCGAAGTATTTTCCGCGAAATTTGACACATTTTTCCATACGATGGAACCAATCATTGAAGCAACCATTCCATTCGGAAGTTGGGGTCTCCAAAATGGCCGTTTTGTAGGCGTCCACAGCTTCTTCAGGTGATGAAAATCTCTGTCCACGCAATTTATTCTTTATTATAGGGAAAGTATAGAAATCATTAGGGCTTAGGTCGGGGCTGTACGGCGGATGGTCTAATAATTCTATGTTTTCTTGCTCTAAAACTCTTTTGTTCTGTGCGCGGTGTGAGAACTCGCATTGTCGTGATGGAGGATGATGCGGCGGTTGCAGTTCTCTTTACGGAGTTCAGAAACGACCTGTGGCAAACAAATGCTAGCATACCATTCTCATTAACCGTTCTTTGTCCCTCAAGAGGAATAGTCGTAACATGGCCGGTTTTGGAGACAAACGTGGCCACCATTTTTTTTGCAACACTCCGTGAACGAACAATTTTTGTTGGCTTTAACTCATTTTCGAACACCCAAACTCGTGACTGGTTTTTTGTTTCGGGTTCGTACGCGTATATCCAGGATTCGTCACCTGATACAATGTTGTATACAGCATTTGAGGATCCTGCGTGGAATCTTTCGAGAGTTCTGACGCACCAAGTAACGCGAGCCGCTTTTTGCTCTTCACAGAGCGAATGCGGTATCCATCGGGAAAACAACTTTTTTACACCTAATTGTTCATGCAAGATTATTTGTATTTGACTCATGCCAATGTCTAAAGTTGCCTGAATTTCGCGGTATGTCACATGTCGATCTTCCTCAATCAGCTTACGCACAGCATCAACGTTTTCTTGGGTGACTGCAGTTTTTGGACGACCTTGACGGGGATCATCACTGAGCTTGACACGTCCACGTTGAAACTCAGCAAACCAGCGATAAATTGTGGTTTTGGATGGGGCTTCATCACCAAATGCAGAAATCATCCGGTCAACACACTGTTTTTGTGTTAAACCACTTCGAAAGTCATAATAAATCATCGCTCTTGAATTTTCTCGAGTCAATTCCATTTTCTCAACGACTAAACAAGTTTGACAAAACCTCGTGACAAGACCGAGAATCTTTTTTTAAATAAATAAATGGTATTCGATTTTTAAAACCAAGGAGTTTTCAATTAAAAAGATTTTAATATGACAGGAACAGTGGAAATATTCCATTCCCGATACTTTTAGTGCAGCCTAGTAGTTTTACTTTATGAAGGACAGGACGTTTTAAGACAATTATAACCCTGCCCTGGTGAAATAAAAAGAAATAAAAAAAATAAAAAATCGAAAGGCCTCCGGGCCACCAATAATCCCTCAAACACAAAAAGACAATAATAATATCGATATAAATATATTTATTCCCATAAAACTATTTTATATAAACGAATTTACATTAGTTTAGCACAATTTTGTAGTACAATGCCATCTACCGAATAAATACTGAACTTAAACGTATTGACGACAATAAACAGTTTTTTTTCAAACCGCATATTTAGTTCAAAGAAGTTACGTAGATGGCTCTGTCTAAATATTTTTATTTCAAATTTAACAAATTCAAACTAAAGAAAATGTCTAAAAAAAACTTCGTACCAAACGTTTATCATTCGTATAATTATATATAATGGAATACGATACATAAGGTACTTGTTTTTTTTTATAGCTTAGACGGCTGCCCTAACCTACCCACGCAGACTCACAAGAGGTCCTACCACCAGTAAAACGTTTTAAATGAAATTATATGTTAGAACAATTTTAGTAATTTACTATAAATTTGTAGCACGTATCTATTTAATTTTTATTCGTTACTAGCGGACCCGGCAGACTTCGTAGTGCCTCAATCGATAAATAAAAGACCTTTTGTATAAAATAAACTTAAAGCAAACAAAATTAATCCGTCCGACGGGGGACACATCAAAGTAAAAACAAATTGTTATTTTTATTTAATTCCGAGAATTTTCATATTTATCTACCGTTTTAAACCTTCTGTGCACTTCCACAAATAATTCAAGACCAAAATTAGCCAAATCAGTCTAAACGTTCTCGAGTTTTAGCGAGACTAACGAACAGCAATTCATTTTTATATAATAGAGAATAGATTCGTTGTCCTTTTTTTTAAACACTAATATCATCATACATCGTGGTCAGTTCATCATGTCTTTAAAATTAAAATATTAAGAAGACACTCCGAAAAACGTATTATTATATTACGGTCTGAAAAGAGGTAATACAATATGTATTCAAAATAAAAATTTATAAAATATAAGAATAACAAATATCCTCTTGTTTTACAGAGTTACAAAGAAAAAGACGCGGGAAAAGTTGTTGTCTACACGACAACAATGGGTATCGTCAGATCAACATACCAACGCTGTGTCCTCGTGAAGAAAATACTTCGGAACCTCCTCATCAAGTATGATGAGCGAGACGTCTTCATGAGCATCGAGTATCAAGATGAAATACGGGACCGGATGAGGAGTGAGCAGATTTTAGTGCCACAGCTCTTCGTGGATGGACAACATATCGGGGTGAGTGGATATTTTAACTGTATGAAACCTTTCCAAAAAACACACATGAGCATTCACTACAAGCAACAATTTAAAACCCCAAAAACGTTAGTGTGTTTCGAACAAAATCTTTTCTGAAATACGAAATGTTAAAAATCCTGAAACGGATTTAATAAAACTGTATCTATTATTTAAAAGGATTTTGAAGTTTTTCTGGCCCTAAGGACAAAGCGCCCTTTGTACCTAAGACGCTATTCCAATTATGCACGGCTTGGTAGGTAAGCTCACAGGGCTCGAATCTGGGAGGATTTGGTAACACTAGCCCTAGTAAGAGCAGTGCTTCGCTGAATCTTCCACCGGATCGGAATCGCGACCCACTGAGAAGATCCGGCGAGGAACTCAGTGAACCGTGTCTATAGGCTAGGCTGCACGTCGCATTCGATGTGTCTGATAAGGCGGTGACTAGTGCTTGGAGAGTTAAAAAGACTGGTAATGGATCGGGAAATTCCAACAGCATGTGCTTAGGAGGACACGGTTTTGCGTTGCCCCGTCGCCGTCGTCTGAGTCGGGTATAGTAGAGGTCGCCAGGATAAAGAAATATCGATGCGCGAATTTTTCAAATGAAATACGTACTTACTTAGTTGAATAATACTCACGTTATAACTTCGCCATATAAGGAACAAAACTTCGTGTAATAAAAACGTAACCGGAAAGTCCATAATTGCGTACTATTTAACGGCCGTCTGGTGTAGTGGTAAGTGACGTGGTCACTACACAGGGGGGTCGCGGGTTCGAATCCCGCCAAGGGAAGATATTTGTATGATAAATAGAAATGTCTTTTCCAGGGTTATGGATGTCTATTAAATATATGTATGTGTATAAAAAAATCTTACATTTATATTCGTTATCTGGTACCTGTAACACAAGTTCTTTACGAACTTATCACGGGACCAGTTAACGTGGCGTGATTGTTAGTAAATATTTATTTATTTATTTAAAATACTAATTGAAATACAGACAAGATTCACGGCGGTTCGAAAGCCGAGTCAGGGGTACCACCGCCCTGCCTATTTCTAAAGCGACTTAATTAATTCATATCATGCTTAAGTTACACGATGTTATTCCTTCACCGTGGAAGTCAATCGTGAACATTTGTTAAGTACGTATTTCATTAGAAAAATTAGTACCCGCCTGCGGGATTCGAACACCGTTGCATCGCTAGATACGAATGCACCGGACGTCTTATCCTTTAAGCCACGACGATTTAATGAAGCGAATATAACAATGCATTCAAACACAATTCGCTTATATTCCTTATAATCCGAACGCCATTAACGCTATACAGATGATAATATAACCGTCGAAGGCAAACAAGATCTCCTCAAATCTCTTAATACCCTACGCAAGGACTTATCTTAAAACCCTTCAAGGATTTTGTGTAAAACTTAGAAGGCTAGTTAATACAAAGTATTATAATACTATGAGAAAACTATGTGAATAATTTATGTACATATAAGATATGCTTACATAATATGTATACTTTATTGCACCATGAAACATAATTAGCATTTAAAATCAGTCAATAGTCGATATTATATATATTTTACTGTTGGTAGGACCTCTTGTGAGTCCGCACGGGTAAATACTACCACCCTGCCTGTTTCTGCCGTGAAGCAGTAATGCGTTTCGGTTTGAAGGATGGGGCAGCCGTTGTAACTATACTTGAGACCTTAGAACTTATATCTCAAGGTGGGTGGCGCATTTACGTTATATATGGGCTCCAGTAAACATTTAACACCAGGTGGGCTGTGAGCTCGTCCACCCATGTAAGCAATAAAAAAAATCTTATAAAATTTTATTAGTATTCATGCGCAAACAAAACAAAAATCACAAAGTCAAAAAAAGTTCGAGAGTGTTAAAATTACTAACGAAACATATAATAGTAAATATGTATGTAAAAAAGAATTTCAATTGTTTAGTACAAACCGGTAATTTCACACTTTAAGCCCTAATTCAATATTAAAACGTGAAGCAAAAACTTTGTACCCCTTTTTACGATAATTGCGCGGACGGAGCAGTATGAAATTTTCCACACTTATAGAGAATACAGAGAAGGAGTGCAGAACGCTAATAATTTTTTTAAATTATGCATTAAAAATACATTAAATCAATAAATAAAAAACATTACACACACTACTGTCAAAATTTTGTTATTGTTTAAAGTCTGTGGTCAAATTGAGAATAGATTAATGATGTTTCTCTTGAATGAACTGTAGTAAAACACAATAATAATTTTATATAAAGTATAAACTATAGTATAACCTCTTGTGAGTCCGCGCAGGTAGGTACCACCGCCCCGCCTATTTCTGCCGTGAAGCAGTAATGCGTTTCGGTCTGAAGGGTAGGGCAGCCGTTGTAACTATACTTGAAACCTTAGAACTCATATCTCAAGGTGGGTGGCGCATTTACGTTGTAGAAGTCTATGAACTCCAGTAACCACTTAACACCAGGTGGGCTATGAGCTCGTTCGCCCATCTAAGCAATAAAAAAAAATAAAAAAACGTACACATGATCTCGCGAGCTCTCGCAACTAAACAGAGTAATATGAATGCAGTTTTAAACAAACAAAACTGGGATGAATTGTAACAAAGTTGAACAGAATGAGTTGGTTACGAGTTTGGCGTGTGAGAGAGAGGAAACGAAACTCATTTGTCAAGTACATAGAGCTGCATTAATAGCTTAACGCATCTGGCAGCTATATCTTATACTTTTAAACGAGCAATTCTTGTATATCAATATACATATATGTATATAATCTGAATCTCGGAAACGGCTCCAACGATTTTCATAAAATTTAGTATACAGGGGATTTCGGGGGCGATAAATCGATCTAGCTACGATTTATTTTCAGAAAATGTTGTTTTATTCGTGTTTACAATAATCAACTCTTCCTGACATTTATTGGCGAGAAATATTACTATTTTCCTTAATTGAGGGCAACTAACCGCTTTAAAGACATAACAAGATGGCGTCATCATCTAGTATTACATAACGCGTCTGGAAGTATCGTGAGCTGCTATCGTCTCGCTTATTTCTACCGCGAAGGAATAGTGCGTTTCGGTTTGAATTGAAACTTTATAACGTTATAACACATGTAGGTTTCTTGACAGACAAACGTGCCAAGATGTGATTTAATAAATGTAATAAACATCCTTCACGTTTATTTGATAGAAAACTCGAAAACTTATTGCTTATTTATTACTGGCGGTAGAGCCTCTTGTGAATCTGCACGGGTAGGTATCGCCATCTGCCGTGAAGCAATAATACGTTTCGGCTTGAAGGGTGGGACAGCCGTTGTGAGACCTTAGAACTTATATCTCAAGTTGGGTAGCGCATTGACGTTGTAGATGTCTACGTGCTCCAGTAACCACTTTACACCAGGTGAGCTTTGAGCTCGTCCACCATCTAAGCAATTTTGTTTTTAAATGCCCACGGTATTCACTTTTCCGAAGTCCGATTAACTTAAAGCTTTGCGTACGTGTCAACGACAAATGAGAGTACAATTTTCAGTCGTATATATATATCTATATCTATGTGCGGGTGTTCACCAATGCTCACATTTCAAAGCCTGTTGACTATAATTGAATATGCAATTTCGAAAAGGGCACATCTCTGAAAATATAAAATGTTCAGGAAATGAAAAAAAAACTGATTATTTTCTAAAGCAGGTCAAAATTTTAAATATTAACTGTTGAGATATATTTTAGTGTTAATTAGCAATTGAAAATTACTGGAATTATTATAAAATGGATGTAGGTAAGCCTCAAAAGTACATGTATATGAAAAAACGTATTTGACAAAATATGCGACATATGCCCTTTTCGAAATTGCATATTCAATTGCTTATGATATAATAGAAGATCGCATGAAAAATACCGTTTATTAGAAGCTATTTGTGTGCTTAATTTAAAAAAAAAAACTACATTCAGTGTGGTACAGATGTTCCCGCAAAATCGATATCACCTTGGTCTCAACCTGTTGAACGAAGATGCACACATACAAAAGAGAACACACAAGCTCAAAACGTTAAAATCAAACTGAGATTACACGACGCCATAATATATATTATAGTTTATTTATTTATTAAAAATGAAAGGGATCTTGATACTAGTTAAAGAATATGTTGATTCGCCCAAATGTTAAAATTCGAAAAAGTTAATAATTAAAATTACTTTAACTTTAACATTTTAAGCTCGAGTTTTTTTTTGTTGTCATTGTATTATTTCCCACGTTTCGTATACTCTACAATTTTCGAGTTTACGTAAAGTTTTTTCATTAAGAATGTAATTATACCATGCCAATAATTATGAACACCTATTACATTTTTAAACTACACTTTTATGCTAAAGTAGTAGTAAAATGCAAACAATGTCACATGGGAGGTATAATTCTTTTTTTAAATTATTGACAAATATTTTGACAAAATTATTTTTATTACAAAAATAACAAAATTATTTTTATTACAAAAATAACAAAATTATTTTTATTACAAAAATAACAAAATTATTTTGATTACCAAAATAACAAGATTATTTTTATTACAAAAATAACAAAATTATTGTTATTTCAAGATTATCAAAATTATTTCTTTTAATTATTGACAAATTCTATTTTCCAATAAACATATTTCATACCACAAAAATAGGGCTGACAGTTATTAAAACCGAAAATTATAAGACATAATGTAGTTAAAGTATATCCTTTCATTTATGCACATTCTCACACTACAGCTGTACACGCAACAGAGACAACATTGTCGTTACATCAAAGTGTTTAGAGACAACATATTACTATGGTGTTGATCTCCTTCAAGTAGATACTCACTATAGATCGCATCTGACTTTGAAGTGAAAGCACTACATATATAGTATTGCTAGCTGTACCCGTCCGCTTCACTTGGCATTTAAAATTAACATTATTATTTCTCATCCCCACAAAAATTCTCATCATTAACGTCCCCA